AAACTCGTCAATCAGACAGACGCCCCGGTCGGCCAGCACCAGCGCTCCGGCCTCCAGCGTCCACTCGCGGCTCACCGGGTGTCTCTGGACGTAGGCGGTCAAACCGACGGCAGACGCTCCCTGACCCGTGGTGAAGACGGCACGACTCGACACCTTCTCCACGTATCTGCAGAGGAAAACGCGTCAGGATTCAGTTTCTAACGTCATTCGACATCAACTTCAATACAACTGTTCAACTGTTAATGACAAATAAAGTCTCATGATAAAAATATATAATCACAGCATTTATTTTTTTATTTCATCTGTTTTTGATTTGTTATTTTACTCTTTAGCTTTAACGTCAGTTCACAGCTTCTGCTAGTTATTAGTTTTTATTAGTCGTTATTGTTGTTTTCAAGAATTTAAAGACCACATACGGTCAGTGACCAGTTTATTAGGTACACCAACTATATTAAACCAACTAAATTAACTGTCATGTACAAACTGTACACTGCATCGTAATCCAACTTATTAAATTCAATGTTTACTTCAGCCGTACTTGTACACACACACACACACTGTAATATACGTACTTGAGGAACTGGGACTTGGCTGTTCCTGGGTCTCCACACAGAAGAACATTGATGTCTCCACGCACCTTGTGTTTACCACCTGGGAAAAAAAGAGCGTTCAGTGTCAGCGACGCTTCGCACTCACTGATGAATAAAATCATCATCAGTACAGACCTGATGTCTCTCCCGCTCATTTTGTGTGTTTACCTGGATTTTTGGGCTCTCCTCCGAACAGCGCCAGAGCCAGAGCTCTCTTGATGTCCTCGTGACCGTAGATGGACGGAGCCATGCTGGCAAAGATCTGCAACAGAAAACGAGTCAGAGATCACGTGTGCAGCAGCGTCCGTTGCACTGGTGACCGATTGTGGTGCTATTGTGTCACCAGCGTCTCAATTAATCTCCCATTTTGAGTTCAACTCCTCACCCTCTCTCCGATGCACTCGTCCTTGGACAGCGTCACGATGGCCTTGATGTCTTCGTCCGTCAGCTCGGCCACAGCGACCCCATCGTCCCGGCAGGTGATGTGGTTGGCCAGGATGACAGTGGCGAACACCGGGAAGCCGTTCGCCATGTTCAGGGAACCGTCGTAGTTGTTGTGGTAGATTCCCGTCAGCTCCTGAGAGACAGGGGAATAAAAGATCTTCGAGTTTAGTTTTTATTTTCCACTGTAAAATCTAAAAGTTGTTTTTCGAGGTTTCAAACAGACTCACAATCTCATCTCCGGGTTTGCAGCTGTCGACAAGGTCGGCCAGCAGAATGGCGTCTTTGGAGCGAGGGAGGCGCCCGGCGGCCACTTTACCGGGACTCTCCTGGATGGTGATTCTCTGGTAGTTCTGGTAAACTGTCTGCAGGAGGGAGACGACGGGTGAATTCACAGAGACAAAGCAACAACCTCATTGGTAGATACACGACAGAGGGAATGACATCACGCCACATGTAAAGGTTCGTGCTCACCTCCTCCATGTTGATCTCGAAGGGCCCCTGGGACTGACACTCGGGACAGGAGCCCGGCTTCACCTCCTGGTTCTGGGACTGGAAGAAGGGCCCCAGCACGAAGTTACACTTGTTACAGTTGTACTTGACCATGCCGAGCTGAGGGAGGACGCCGGTGCAGCTGCTCACCACACCGCTGGTTCGGATCAGCTGGTTCAGGTGCAGCTGCCTGGAGGAGGAGGAGGAGGAGATGATGAAGATGATGAAGCAGTTGAATCTGATGCTGCTGAAATTTGATTAATTTCCTTTTTCCTTCATTATTTACAATAACTGACCATAGATGTATTAAAGACTTTGATTAGTTTGCAGAGTAAAAGAGTCAAACTTCACCTGAGTGAGCGGATCTCCTCGACCAGCGGCAGGTTGCAGATGCGGACGTGGATCTCGTGGGCGATGCGGTCGTATTTCGGGTACATGGCCAGCACCACTTCTTTAGCTGCTTCATCAAAAACCTGACGGAACGACAGGAGACACGATCAGGTTTTCATACATGCTAACATTGACGTGAGGAACAACAGACGATTTAATAGTCCACACGAGCGTTTTAGCTCCGCAGCAGTAATCATCCAGTTCTCAAACCAGGAAGCTGGAATCCAACTTCAATGATTTGTAGCCAGGTTTTAAAACCGGTCTCATCTTCACTGCTGCAATGATTCATACAAAGAACATTCAAGTTCATCAAGAGAAAAAAAACTCAACTCACCTTCAACATCTCAGTCGGAGCTTCTGGTAGAAAATAGGCCAACACGTGTTCTCTGGCAGCGAGATCTTCATAGTTCACCACCAGACTCTCCTTGTTCTCTGAAATAACAGAATTAGGTTCGTTCATTTAAAAATCAACATGTTTGTGTCCGATCGTTGAAAAAAAAAAAAAAAAAAACCCTCAGCTACCTTTGCACATGTCGCTGATCTTCTCCTTGAAGACGTTGTGGCCGTTCTCGTCCACGTGAGTTCGCAGGAAGTTCTTGAAGCGGTTGTAGATTTCCAGTCTGGGAGCCGCCATGGAGACCCACTCCCTCACCGTGTGGCCCTTCATGTCCTCCAGGTTCTCGATGCTCTCGATCATCTCCTCGTCCTCTCCGTCGACGCCCTCTGCTGCGCGCTCGGCCAATCGCCTTCGCCGAGCCGCCGGGCGCTCGTCGTCTTCATCTTCGCTGTCTGGATAACGGAAGAATGAATAAGTGACTTTGCCTCGTTCACTTCGACACAAACACAACTTCAGTCTGCTGTGTGTTATTTGTCGTTACACCTCGATGGTTTTAAGCCTACGTTTGTTAATCGCTCCAGAAATCTTGATCTGTATGGTGAACACATATCTGGAGCACGTCCGCAGTGTGAAAACTTCTGCCCTAAAACACCTTTATTACACAAACAGTCAGCGCCTCCCTCCACAAACATCTGTTTGCTCCTCACCGTAGAGCAGTCCTCTCCTCAGACGCCCGCTGATGCCCTGCTCCCTGTCCCTCCTACTCATCGCCTCTTCTGCGGCGGCCCGGGCTCCAGGCGACAGCTCCGACAGATCCTCATCGTCCAGGTCCAAACCCTCTGCCTCGTACTGATCCAGCGCCGGGATGGCACGGTAATCCCTGACCGGAGCGAAGGGGTTGGTGTTTAACAGAACAAGCAGTTCATCTGATGTTGAAATTCTGAACAAATCCATCGCGGTCCTCACCTCTCCATCCCGTCCCCGATCAGCTCCTCCCCATCTCCGTCCTCCTCTTCCACCTCTTCCTCTCCGGGCAGGGGTCCCTCTCCCAGCAGCCCCTCCGACTCATCCTCAAAGGGAGGCAGGTCTCGTCCCGGGCTGGACGTCAGGTCTCCTCTCCTGGAGGCTCGGCTGGGGCTGGTGGCAATGTGGAACGACTCGGAGGAATCCTGAAAAAACAAACACACACACAACTCGGTTTTTAATTTTCATCCCAGAACATGATGTTGTCTACTTGACCTGTGGAGCTGAGTCAGCACATCATCATTCCACTGGGCACTTTTAATGTCTTTCTAAATTATGGCTCTAGGTTTTTCTCAGATTTTGATATAATTCACAGATTCTTTCATATTGTAAATGATTGGATTTGCCCCTCGTCTCATTTGTTATAGACAGTTTCTCGTTGTGTTGCAGATTTTACTCTGAAAACAAAAGTTCAGTTTATAAAATACAATTAATCCGAACACAGCAGTAAACAAAAGCTCTGGAAAAACTTCAGAATTACACTCAGGACCTTCTGCATTGTGAAAATTATCTTTGACAGTTTCATTTAAATTAAAGTTTAACTTTAAATGAGTTTTCACTTGATCTTATTTCACAGCATGTGTAAGAGTTGTATTGTTTGATATCTCGTTATTTCTCTTATTTAATGAGTTTCTTTCTTTTAAACCACATGGCAGCTCTGCTCCTTTCAAACATCGAACCCAAACAAACACGTGTGAACAGACGAGTGATTCTAAAGTTCCGATCAAAGTTTTAATCATCGTGAGAATCTGATGCTTCAAACATTAAAATCCACATTTCTGACAGAATCTTCGACTCTGACGTTGTTTTCTATGGTTCAGTCGCAGAACTAAGGAACAAATATTAAAACTTTCATCTGACTCGTCAGTCACAGAATAACTCGACTCGTCTTCTGTCTCCTGCATCGAACACAATAATAATCTTGGTAATAATCTGTGTTTAAAGGTTTTAACTCACCGCCATGTTTCGCTGCTGATGCGTCTGTTTCTGTCTGTTCTGCACAAACGTCTGCTTCCGGCCGGGACTCGCTTTTCGCGCGAAAACAGCACGTGACGCTCAAAGCCCGCGAAAAGTGATGAATATTCACGTAGGGAGTGTGACGTCTCGTGTCCTGATTCGTCGACACGTTTCACGGGGGCGGGGTCTCGAAGGAGGGTGCGCTGGGTTTCTTCACGCCCTCGGTCCGGCTCGTGCGGGCGGTGTCGTGGTGACGTGTGTGAGTGACAGCCGCGCGAGACGTGAAGAGAAAACAAGCGCACCTTTTCCGGGCGTGACGGGAGGGGGCGGGGACTGTGACGTGTTCTATGTTTTCCCGGGAATATTTGGAATCGCTTTATTTAAAGGAAACGTCCCAAAAAGTTTCATCGAACGATATTCATCAATTCATGTGCAGGACATTTGGTAGAATTAATAATAATAATAATAATGGGTTCAAATGTTTTCCAATGAGACATCATATACAAAATAATTGAATTTGAGCAAAACCTGAACCTCTTATTTGTGATTTCTGTTTTATAGGACAAACTGTGAAGTTTGTTGTGATCTGATAGTTAAGGTTGTTTAGCTGGAATCAAACATTCAACAAATCTAAATCAGTTTTGTCCTATTTTTCTAAAATATCTATTGAATATTCAATTTAAATGTTTAATCAGTATTACTTCAACCTGACAACAAATATTTATTCACCTCAACTTATGAGTGGTGTTTGAAAAAACAGACAACAGGACTAAACCAACACCTCAAGTTTAATAATCATCATTTGTGACATCATGTTCATTCATTCATCAGATTTGCCATAACCCCTTTCACACCTGCACTTAAATATCTGTAACAAAACAAATCACATTAGTATTTACAGTATCAAAAACTGAAGAGCTCCCGTTTCTATCTCGGATAATAAAAACAAACAAAAGGATAAAATAAAATCTCATTGCAAAGTTTTCAGTGCAGGAAATAAATAAATATCACAACTTATTTTCACTCATTGGTATCAAAACGCCACGAAGACCTTCAGCTGAAACAGACGAGCAGTTGAGAAGACATGGGTCACATAAAAAGTCCTGTACGTCATGACAGGGAATATTTTTTAATCTTGTGCTTGCAGGATAAATAACTTGTTTTCACACAATATTTAATTTGTGGGAACAAGTTAATCCCGTGTCTGTAGAAGAGCAGCAAGGATTTCATAATGTGACACTAAAAGTTGAAAATAAACCTTGAATGAGTTTTTATCAAATTATCTTGACGCACAAGTTCATGTCTTCAGTGCACGAGATAAAAAATATCACCTGTCGGGACTTTAGCGGCTCAGAAGAGTTGAGCGCCTGATGTGACTCTTATGTTCATGAAGGAGTTAGTGTTGTGGAAATGGAAATGATGCTGTTTAAACATAGACAACAAAAACATAAGGAGTTTTTGAGGTTGTGTCGACTGAGGGAGAAAACATTTCTGTCCCAATTACAAATAAAACCAAATAAAAGATGAATTACATTTGCTACAATTCATTTTGACGAGTAAACAAGGCAGCTGCAGAACCAGTTTCTTCAACTTGGTCCAGAAAACAAAAATCTGTTTCTTCCCTCTACAGATTCTGAAGCACTTTATTTATATAAGACACATTCACTGTCGTCTTTGTCCGACGCGCTCTGGATTAAGTAGAAAGAGAAAAATCTGGGTTTTAGCGTTAAATCACTGTGTCTCAGCAGCTGATCACTGCCCCTGGTAGTTATTCAGTTTATGTACCACAATGAGGTAAGTTCTCCTTCGACTGCTTGAGATGAAACACTTTCAATCTAGAGTTTGTTAATTAAAGAGGAAATTGTGAGAGAGAAAAACAGGCGAAAGACAAACAACGTGAGAAACATGAAAAGAGATGAAAGAGGCTTCCTGACAACACCCTTAAAAATAAAAGATTCCTTCATCCTTTTGGCGTATGAGTTCGAGTGTGAACATAAAAAGAAAAATGTGTGTGTGTGGGAGAGCTGTAAATTATCAGGAAAGATCATGTCAGCCTTCAAAATAAAAGCCTTGCAGAGGGAGAGTGCATGGGAGTTGGTGCTTCAAAATAAAAGCTGTCCAGGGCTGAGCTGCAGGATAAACACGACGTCAAAATAAAACTCTTCTGGAGTGGCTGCAACTAAAGAGGAGACTTCAAAACAAAAGCATTTTGGGATCCAGGTGGAGTGAAGCTTTCACGCAAGTGAAAGAGTAAAGAGGATGGAGATGTCTCACCACATCCAACATCTGCATGAGTCCCTTGTTTTGTATGATGTAGTTCTGTTGTTTGCATATGAAGTCGTACCAGACACACGTTGTACATGGGTGTCAATGTTCTGTCTTGGATCCAGTTTGGCTTTAGAACTATTTTCTCCTCCTCGGTTTGTGTTCGTTCGCTTCGAGGAAAATTGAGACGTTTCTTCCTCGCCTGGTCGAGGCTGTGAGTGAGCGTGTGTTTTATTTAAGCACCAGCGTCGCCTCAGAGCCATCCTTCCTCTTCAGGTACAGTCCGTAGGTGAGGTGGTGCTCTCTCCTCAGGAAGGCATAGAAATAATCAGACACCAGAAGAATCTGAGGGGAAATAAATAAAGGAGACAGATGGAGTCATTCAATCACAGGAGTGATTAAATTCATGGTATTAGCAAATCATAAAGATTAAAGCAACACTAGGTAACTTTTACTGATCATCAGCGCCTTCTGCAGCCACACGCAGTGATTAATTCTGTTCGGCTCCATGTATGAGCGAATAATTTGACTATCGATCATTCAAATCTTATTCGATTAAAAACACAGGAGACCACAGATATTGGAAACTTCCCAAGTTGCTGAACCATCAAACTCACTTCAATCAAGCTGCGGGTTCAAGGTTAAAACGTTTCATATTGTTGCTTGGGTTAAAGACGACATCAGACAGGAGGTCGTACCTGTGCCACATTGAACAGAAGTGTTATGGCGTAGTAGAAGTTGGAGTTGGCGCTGCCGGCGTAGATCCAGAGGTGCCAGAGAACCGGGAACAGAGCCGAACAGGCCAACAGGACGCAGGACACCAGGAAGATGTTCCTCAAGACTGAACAAGAGGGAAAACAACATTTAGATCAATTTAAGTGTTAATGGCCTCAATTAGGACCAAAGAATTTCACTGTGACACTTTTAGTTACTGTACATTTCAACATGTTAACCTTCACACAACTTCTCCTGAATATTCAACATCTGCATTTAATAAACTCACATCTGTGCAGGTGACTCCAGACAGGAAGGAAGGCCATGTAGAGAGCGATGTCTCCCACTGTGGGGTAAGACTTGAAGATGGAGATCACAGCCAACTGCATGAATATCAGAAACACTGGATGCTCCCTGCAAATCACACACATACATTAGAGTGTATTCAATGCAGAAACAGCAGCTCTGTATTAACTCTGAAGGACAGACAATGTTAAGGATCAGACAGAGGACATACTTCAGTTTGATGGACAGCGGGATGGTGTAGAAGAAAACGTTGATCTGAAAGACGCAGAGGAAGAAGAGGCGGAAGTGTTCAAACATCTCGGCGAAGAAATACCAGAAGAGGCCGATGTTGGGGGTCAGGTCTGGAACTGAGAGACTGGAGAGAGACGGAAAACACACACGGTGACACGAGGACAACAAAGAGACAACAACAGGAGACGTTTACTCTGATGTATGGAGAAGTAAACAGGTCAATGAGGTTTATATTTACAGAACCTTTATTTATCTCGAACAGGAGTTTGTCATTCACTATAATTTATTTCGTTACTGTTGTTTTCATCCTATGGAGCATTATGGAATTATTGCTGGTGTGAGAATTTTCCAGAGTTTTAAAATTGTGCCTCACATGAGTATCATTTGTTTCTTTTGGGGGGTGGCTTGGTTTGATGTGGGCCCCAAAGGTTCATTAAAGGGCTCCTGAGGGGTTGAGCGCTCTCTGAGAATCTCTCTCGTTTTCTCTGGTTGTGGCAGGAATCACATCTCAGAGGCAGCAAGTGGGAGTGTTTATTTCAGTATTTGTGAGGCAACTCTTTTCACAGTATATCTGCATTTTAAACCTCATGCACAAGACCTCTCCTTAAAAAACAGCTGCAATAACTGCACCTTCAGAGGTCGAAAACTCCCACAGGGAACCTTCATACTTTTTGTTTAACACTCACATGAAGCCGTAGACGGAGGGCACGTAATCCCAGGAGCCGAGCAGGAAGAAGGAGAGACCGATGATGACGAACAGGCTGCCCAGGTACATGAAGCCATACTGTGCGATAAACCACCAGAAGCTGGCCCATCGAAAGTTCACAGGGATGTACTGTTGCTGGAGACAAACAGATGTGGGAATGTAAATTTTAAATTTAGCACAAATCTAGGAAACTACAATCAGATTCAGTTCCATTAATACACAACATACCTGCATCAAATACAGCAGAGCTGGAGCGCACAGAGTCAGAGGATAGATGGACTGATACGTAGCCAGGGACAGAAATATGGCACTGAGCAAAACATTTCCTGCAACACAAAATTACAAAAAAATCAATGACATAAAATAATCCATTTAGTTTTTTCTGTTTTCTGGTATTTTAAACGTTGCTCTAGAGGAGAAATCTGCAAGATCCCAGAGGACAAAATACATATTTTGACACTAAAAGCAGATCAAAGAGCCATTTTTAATACTCATGCTCAGATAAATACTACAGTGAAATCACTCCAGTGAGTATTAAAAAATGAGGGTTACATTCAGACGGAGAATAATCATGTCCTTATTGTTGTTTAAATCCAACTGTACCTTTTATCGTAGAGAGGATGAAGAGGGCGATGACGGCATTGTTCAGGGCACAGGTTGACATGGCGACACAGGAGAGGATGGTGAATGGGTTCAACAGATAACTGTGACAAAGAAGAGAAGAATGAAGATAATTTAGTCTCTTACTAACACATCATAACTATAAATGTACGAGGGTTACTGAAAACTAAACTTGGAACGTGGCACTTACAACATGGCTACTTTCAGGGGGATGTAGTACATTTCTTTGGGGCTTCTGATGAGCTCCAGACAGTCGAGGGGGTAGCGGTCGGCCTCCAAAGCATATTTCTGTTTTCTGAACTGAAACAGCATCAACAACACATCAAATATCTCTGGACATTTATTTACTAAATCGACATTTAAGAGGAAATACAGAATAAAGCAAAATATAACGACTCTATTAAATATTATATTTGTAACATTACATTATTTACTTTGCACATTTTTCAATTATCTTACCACTTGTTTGTTGTAGTCCTTCACTGCCATGTAAAGAGCCACAGCAGTGATCACATCTGCTAACTGCAGAGACACAACGACACAGAGTCAGCAACCGTCTCAGAAACATACCAACAATATAAAAAATACAGAATACTCTTCTAAATACTCACTGGAATAATAAAACTGGTATCAAGGAAAGCTGTGTTACACAGACGCTCATATTTATCAGAGAAAATATGAAGGATTTGCATCTCATTCCAAAATCTTCTTTATATTCCAGGCAAACAACGAAATGTTTACTTGTATTCACACTGGATCACGTGGAAAGTATCCACACGACAATGTGACTCCTATTCTGGCTCATAAAAACACGAAACTGAAGATTTTTTTGTCGTCCCACTCACCATAAATGTTATCTCAGCATAGTCCACCAGAAAGTGAAAGAGGTAAATGATGAGAGGAGTCTGAAGGTAAGAGAAAATGATATTTGGAATCAGAGCAGCTCTGATAATAAAACATGTTAGTGTGTAAACATGAAAATGAATGCAGGCTCAGGTTAAATTATGATTTTTAGACACTACGAATAAAATAATTTAGTTTTGTCAATTCCTCGACATTTGAAGTTTCAGTTTCATTTCCTTGTTAGAGATGATAAATGATGTTGTATTTGCATCTGCTGATTTATTTACTTTTGAATTATTTATTAATGAAAAACAAAGAGGAATACTAGTCACAGTGGAAACCCCCCCCCCCCACTGCGGTCATACATGTCGTGTACGTGTGTGAACCTCTCACCTCATGGAAAACATCTCCAGAGTACGGTGAGACGCCCAAATCGAGCAGAGCCAAACCTTCTACCACTGCAGACAAACAGACAAACAAACAAAATGTCAGACAAAGACGGTTCAATATTTCAGCTCTGGTCATCACATCACATCCTGTCTCTTTATACAAGCAGCTACAGCCTCCGTTTTAACGATGCAACTTCCTGCTGCAGCTGCCCAATCAACAATTCATGAGGGGTTGTGGTGTTTTACTGCAGCTGACAAGCACTACAGTAGCCTGTGTGTGTGTGTGTGTGTGTGTGTGTGT